GCACACCCTACCATGTAGTTCTTAGTATTTCAGATAAGGAAGCAGAGTTTAGAGGTTCTGTGACTTGCCCAAGGCTAACTAGCTAGGGAATGGCAGGGCCAGGGGATCCAACTCCAGGGCCTCTGTTTAACTACTCCATTACACTAGTGGTTGTAAAGATGAAGTGATAAATACAGTGCCTTGGACACAGCCTGGCACGGGTTCACCGTTCAACAGATGGAAACGGTCTCTTACAGCAACTATCTTTAGGACGACTGGGCAGAGAAGTGTGAGTTGAGAAATGCTGTATAAATCTAGATTCACATAGTGGAGCATGAAGGAGGCGCTGGACCCGGGGGTGTAGAGTGAGGAGAGGACCAAGGAGGGGCTGCACCAAGGCAGTGGAGATGCAGGTGTAAAAGAAGGATGAATGTGAACGTTGCCTCTCGTCAAGGTGTCACGTGAGCTTAGGCAAAAAGTGAACTGGCAAATGCAATTCTTGAACTCTCATAAAAGTTATTTGTGAAGATTGCTTATAAAAGTGTGCCCAAAGTCAAAGGAACTGAACAGAAGAAATACAAATGGTCGAAAAATATATGAAAAAATATCCAACATCTCTAGCAATTAGAGAAATGCAAATTAAAACTAGACTGAGATTCCATCTCACTTCAGTTAGAATGGCAATTATAAAGAATACAAGCAACAATAAATGTTGGGGAGGATGTGGGGAGAAAGGTACTCTCATACAATGCTGGTAGGACTGCAAACTGATGCAACTCTGTGGAAAGTAGTATGGAGATTCCTTAGAAAACTTGGAATAGAACTACCATTTGACTCAGCTATATCACTCCTCAGTCTGTACCCAAAAGACTCAAAAAGAGCCACATCCATGTACACAGCAGCTCAACTCACAATAGCCAAGCTATGGAAACAACCTAGTTATCCTCCAATGAATGAATGGATAAAGAAAATGTGGAATATAAATACAGTGAACTATTACTCAGCCATAAAGAAGAATGTAATTATGGCAGTTGTCAGTGAATGGATGGAACTAGAGAATATCATGCTAAGTGAAATAAGCCAATGCCCTAAAACTAAAGCCCAAATGTTCTCCCTGATTTGTGGATGCTAACCCAAAACAAGGGAGGCTGGGGAGGGGAAGAATAGAAATAGACTGGACTAGACAAAGGGTAACAGAGGGACAAGAGTGGGGAGGGGAATAGAAAAGACATCAGAATTAATTGGTCATAACTTTCCTAGCCTTGTGTTTGTATACATGACTAGGGTAACTCCACATCACGTACAACGACAAGAGCAGAAACCTAATTGAATAAGTTATACTTTATATATGT